CTGGAGTTGAGAGCTGGGGGGAAAGCTGGAGGTGGTGGGGAGATAGATAGCTGACGGAGTAAAGTCAGCTGTTCCCTGGGGGCGGAGCTTTGCTTAGGCTGCTTGTGCCTGAAGCCCCACTGCAATTCATTGCATCTTGAAGCAGTGACATATATTAACAAAGAATCATAATTATAGTAACAAATTGTGATAGGAATAACAAAATAACAGAAACACTTTAGCTAACTTTTACTGGTCATTTTCTCATTTAATTGTCAAAACAACCCTCTGAAGCACAGGGAGGTTAAATAACTTGTCCAGTGTCACAGGCTCAGCAGCGGTGGAGTCTGGAGGTGGACTCAGTTCTGGCTGTGCAGAGGAAGCACTTGACCCCTCGCCTCGCTGCCTCCCCGAGGAGCCCGCGGCCGGGTCTGGGGTAGAACACAGGGCTGGGCTGTGGAGCTGGGGTTTTTCATAGGCTGTGACCAATAAGAGGAATGTCTGTGTTTATTGAGCTCACCTGGAGGGTAGATGAGACGTTTTAGGGACTGTACTTTGACCCGTGATTAGATTCAGGTTTGCCCAGGTAGGTGTTGGAACCATCAAGTGGAGAGACCTCAAGGTTTGGGAGAAATCTGGGGGTATATGACGCCCCTCACATGGCTCAGAAACACCGGCCGCAGAGGCTGCCTGTAGTTGAGCGCTGGCCCCACCCCCAGCGCCACACGGGCTGTCCACGTCCCAGGTGCTGCCTAGGCTCAGGCTGCTCATCTCAGGGTGAGGAGGAGCCTCTCTCTCTCTCATTTCCCTTTTGATCTATTTTTTTCTAAAAGAATAAGCGGTTTCGGGGCCTTGGGGGAGGCTGCATCCTCGACAGCACTGCAGAGGAGGTGGGGTGGAGAAAGCCTTTGCTCCCACCTGGCTGCCCTCCTGCAGCTGGACACTCTTCCCACTCCCGGCCCTTTCCAGGGGCTCTGCTTTTCCGGTACTTCTGGCTCTCTGGACGGAGAGAGGCTTGTCGGTGTGGCAGGTAAGGGGGGTTGCCGGCGGGTCTCTTGGTTATCTACTTCTATGCCACATAGCAAATCACCATGAATTTAGTGGCTTAAAAACACTGCCATTTAACGTGCTCCTGGTTCTGAGGTCAGGACTCTGGGAGGGCAGTACCGGGGAGAAAGTCTCTGCTCTGTGTGGGGTCAGCTGGATCCCGAGTCACTCACTCAGCTGGAGGCTCGCTGGGACAACCAGACCCCTCCTGCTCCATGGGGTCCCTCCAGCAGAGTAGGGGGTGCTTCTTACACGGCAGCTCAGGGCCCCCAAGAGCATAAAAGTGGAAGCTGCCCAGCCCTCTAAGCTCAGGGGGGCCTGGCAGAGCGCCCCTCCTGCTGACTGTGATTGGTGAGTAAGTCCCAGGGCCTGCCCGAACTGAAGGGGAGGGGCTGCACAGGCGTATTTCAGTGGGCGACACCAGTGCCACAGCCTGCCAGCCTGGGCAGGTCGAGCAGGAAGAGTGGGAGGTTACCCCAAGCCGGCCGTGACCCTTTGCTCCGTACATGGGGCTTTGGAATTAGACAGACATGGGCTCCTGTCCTGGCTCAGTCACTTCTCGGCTGCCTGACCATGCTTGGCCTTTGGAGGTCACCATACCCTGGCCTTCCTGCCTCTCCAACCTCCCTAGCTGCGTCTGTCACCTGTGCAGACAGGCAGGGAGTCCTCTGCGGTGTGAATGCCTGGCCTGGGATGTGTTTCTTGTCTTTCCCTTCCTCCCCACTCCTCTGACGTCTCCCCCTTGCCCCCGAGGTCTCCTCCTGCCTGCCAGCCCAGCCCAGACACCCCAGCCCATGCTGATCTTTCCCAGCCAAGCCATTGTCATCTCCCCTCATGTGTTCCATAGGCTGCCTCGTGTTTTTAATTCCTTCTTTACACATCCCTTCTGTCTCCTGCCACCTGAATAGAAGCCCTTTGAGCCCAGGATCTGAGCCCAGAGCAGTAGGTGAGCAAGGCAGGCTGGCACCAAGAAGGCTGGACAGATGGCCACTGTGGTGACTGGACCTTCCCAGATGGGAGGCCCTGAGGTGGTGGCAACAGTAGCCACTCTGGTCTCCTGCCCAAGAGGCCATATTCAACAGGCCAAGGAGTGGGCTGGTGACGTGAGCAGCTGGAGGAGGAGACAGGGGGCCTGAGGTTGGGGGGGGCGTTGGTTGGAGAGGACCCTCTGCCTTTGCAGAGGACTGTGCCCCTCGGTCTCCCTTCCCCCTCCTCAGGGTCAGCCCAGGGCCCATTCACAGATGAGGTCATGGGGTTGGCAAGTGGCAGGGACCAGCTTGAAGTCCATCTGATGCCGAAGCCTGTGCTCTCCTGCCAGCCAACACCACCCTCATCAAGGCTGTCCACCTCCTTCACTGGTGGGAAGAGACGTCATCTTTCCTGTTCCAGACGGCAAGGCCCAAGGAGCTGCCACGCCACAGCCAGGGGAAGGAGGGTAACTTGGGTACAGAAAAGTGGTATGGAGGGTGTGAGAAATGGCATTCTTTACTCATAAATAAAAACATAAAATTACCAGAAATAGTTTACATGGCCAAAGAGGGGCATCAAAAATAAAATAAAACAAAGCTGTCAAAAGGAAAGCAAACCAAACAAGAAACAACCAAGAGAAAACTCTATACATATTCTTCTACGTGCCAGTCCATCCAAGGCCAGCCTCGACGGGGTCCAGCTCTGCCTGCAGATGCTGACCGGCCCCCCGAGAGGGGAGGAGGGCATGCAGGCGCCCCAGCTCAGGAGGACTCAGGATCCCCAGGGGAGTCCCCTCCCAAAGCCGCTGCTTGCACAGCCCAGCCTGGCTCACCCCTGGGCCTCCCTCTCACCCAGAAGAAGGCACGTGGACGAGGTGAGCAGGGGAGAGAGCCCCCAGTACCCACACTGCTCAGTGCCCTTGGGGGCCATGTGCTCCTGACAGGAGTTACCCCAACAACACAGTGGCCAGCGATACCACGGCGGGCGCCCTGTGAGAGTCTCGTCATTCCAAGGCCCCAAGGCAGAGTCCCCTCTGTGGTGAGGTGGTGCTGGATCCTGCTGTCTCTCTGCACAGAGCTGGACCATTTTTAGGCCAGCATCCTTTGGGGAGCAGAGTGGGTCAGTCTGACTGAGTGAGCGAGTGTGCCAGCAGGTGTGTGCAGAGGGAAGGCCAGCAAGCTCACGCCGGCTGTGGGCCAGGCCGCCTGCTCTGAGGCCCGTGTTGGCCGACCTCCCCAGTTCCTGCTCAGCCTCTGCTGTTCAGAGCCTCCTTCTGGAGAGGCTGGGTTTGGCATGGTCCAGGAATAGTAAGGATGTTTTTCCACAGGGAAGGGAAGAAAAATCACACGGTGGCGAGGTTGCTATGTTACAGGACACTGTTACACTCTGGGGTCACCATGGGCCACCCTGGGGCCTTGGGCTGGTGGCAGCTCAGGGAGGACAATCACGGGTTGGCCTGGGACAGGGATGCGGGTGTGGGGTGCAGGGCATGGTCACACGGCAGGGGAGCACAGGCTGTGCCTGAGCACCCTCCCTTGGGCTTAACACCCACCTCTTCTCAGGGACGTCTGGAGGGCCGAGCAGTGGGGCTGGGGCTGCTCCTTGGGAGGGAGAGGAAGAGGGTTTCCAGCCTGGGAGTGGGCAGCAGCCCTTTGTCTATCCTGTGAGGCAGTCTCACTGGGAAGAAGGACTCAAAAGGCACAGGCTGGTGGGAATGGTGGGACTGAGGGGTGGCACAGGGATTGGGACATCTCTGACTGAGGGTCTGCACTGTGCCCAGTGGAGGGCACTGCCCCCCAGGCAGGGAGTGGGCTCTTGGCCTGTCGATTCCAGGTTTAAATCTAGCCTATGCCTAAGAGCAATGGCTTAAAATTCCAGAAAGGCTCCCCTGTCATGTGAAGGCAGCAGGACAGGCACGGCTTCACTCCAGGACTGGAAGGCAGAGCCCCCCGCAGGGAAGGTGGCCCTACCCTCAGCCCAGCCGCAGGGAGGAAGGTGGCCCTGCCCTCAGCCCAGCCGCAGGGAGGAAGGTGGCGGGCCCTGCGAGGACAGGGGCAAGAAGAGAAACAGCTCCCCTCTCCCCTCCCTCCCTACGGTTAGGGAGGCAGAGAGGGGTCTGGTGTCGGATTCTAAGGGCTCAGACTTGCCCGTCCCTTCTGCCTCGGTGAACCCTCTCTGCAGGCAGCCATGAGGCTCAGGAATCCAGCAAGCGCTGGCTGTCCTACAAACAGCAGCTGTGGCCAGAGTCAAAAATAGAACATGGAACAGCCTGGCTGCCTGCTAGATCTGGCTTGCTCCTGAAGACATGGAAGAAAAAAAATAAGAAAAAAAGAAAGTTCCCTGCACCAAGCAACTGAGAAACTGCCCCTTTTGTCTCTTCCCCCAGCACTGCACGTCTGCAGAAGAAAAGCCCCCACCTCCTGGCACAGGCCCGCCCCCAGCGGGCCATCACTCTCTAGGCAATTGACAGGTGGGGCTCAGGTGGGGCTTGTGGCAGAGGGAGGCCTGCCGTGGCCCTGGGGCTGCTCATGAGGCTTGTTTGCGCCTCTGAGTCCCCTGCTGGGGGCTCTGGCCCACGGGCACCTGGGGACCCCCTCCTGACATAAGGACTCTGGTCTGAACTCAGCACTGCCGATGCGAAGGAGAAAATGTGTGCCACTGACATTTACATGGTGACTGACGAACAATAATGTATAACTAAAATTTCACAATGTTATAAACTATTATGACATCAATTAAAAAAAGTGTGCCGCTGAACTAAGCCACAGGCAAAGGAGGGCAGTGCCCAGGTCGTCCCTGCGCCATGTGGACACAGTTTGTTCTCGATCCAACAAAGGCTTGATTCTTGGGAGGAAAAAAGTTCAGAGTAGCCGCTGGCCAAACTGAACCAGGTGGGGAAACTCCTACCTCTAGCCCCACAAGGAAAGATACGGAGGCTCTCCCTGGGACAAGTGGAAAGCCACCCCCTCCCTGGTGACCAGGCCTTCAATCTGCCCTTCCCAGCATCCACCCCAGGGCCTTAGTGTCTATGGCTTTGAGAAAAGTGATCACTGCAGTCAAAGGCCACCAGCCATCCAGAGGCTGCTCACCTCCAGTCAGCGGGGCCCAGCAGGGTCTAGCCGTTACTACGGAGCTTCTCCCTCTGACTCCAGTGAGTCCTTGCTGAGTCTAGACGCTCCTGGGCTGCCCCAGCTTTCCCCTCCTCTCTGGCTTGCCAGGGTCAGGTCAGCTCTGATGATGCTAAGCCCGCTTCTCCACATCCCACTCCAGCCCCTACACGCCTGTGGCCAGAGGAAGAGCTCAGGTTATGACCGGGTCCAGTTCCAAGTCTTCTGGTCACAAATGGCTTCTTTCTATCTCCAAGGGATCCCGATGTGTTGGAGGAGAAAAGAGGTTGTGGGAAGAGAGGTGGAAGGGAGCTTCTGTCCTGGGGTGGCCACTGGCCTTCATGGCAGTCACCACCATCCTGGGAGAGGGTGTCTCTAAGTATTTTGAACAAAGGCCAAGGTTTACGGTGCCCTTAACCAAATGGTGGAGATACTTGGGCCCATCTCTTGGGAAAGCTAGAGGTCCAGCAGGCTGCAGGGATGTAAGGGCTGGAACGCGGGATGGCAGGGAGAGGCCACATAGCAGCCCCAAACCTCCCTTTCCCTTGAGGGGCCCAGGCCTATGTCTGGGGAGGCTTCTCTCAGGCCTGAGTGACAGCACAGGGGAGTGGGGGGCCCTCCCGACAGACTCTGCACCCTTGCCTCCCGCAGCCCTTCAGATCTCGGTGGCTATGATGTCCTCATAGGGGATGTCAGCCCCTTCAAGATCTATCTCCAAAGGCTCCCCTGCCCCGTCCCCGTGGGCCAGCTGCTGCAGGGCCCTCTCCAGGCGCTGGTTCCGCTGGTACATGGCCAGGTAGGCCTGCTGCAGCTGCTTCTGGTACTGGATCACCTTCTCCTTCTCCTCCTTCCACACCAGCCGCTCCTGCTGGAAGCCAGAGGACATCTGGTCGTGACCTTGTCGCTCCTCCTGCAGCTCTGCCCGCAGCCTTTCCAACTCCCGCTGCAGGGTGGGGATGTCCTCGCAGCAAGCAGGCCCGGCCCCCAGGCCCGGCCCCAGGGGCACACCGTCCCGCAGCAGGTCATCCCGGGCCCTCAGAGCCCGCAGCGCCCGCAGCTCCTGCTCCAGCAGGTTCCCCTTCTCCCGCAGGAGCTCTGCCTCGCTCTTCCTGCGCTGAAGCTCATTCTGGCAGACCTCCAGCTCCAGGCCCTTGGTGCGCAGGGCGCTCTCCAGATCCTGCGTCTTCAGCTCCATGCCCTCCAGCTTGCCCCGGGTGTCCTTCAGCTGTGCCTTCAGACTGAGGATCTCAGTGGCCTTGGCGTTGACCTCCGTCTGGGACTCCTTCAGCTGCTGCTTTAGGAGAGAGATCTCGCCCGACTTCTGGCACACCTGCCAAGGGTCAGGGTGGGGAGGAGACAGTGCCAAGAGGTGAGAGGTCTTCACATCTGAATAGCCTAAAGGAGTCAAGCTGGTCCTGACATGGTGCCTCAAGAGAGTGCCCAAGCATGGTGGTCTGGGTGACCCATGAAGGCCAGGCCCCTCATGGAGGCTCCTTTCATTCGGTAGTCTGGCTTGGCCTGCCTCACCCCCAATTCAAAGTCTCAATCTCAATCTGGGCTCTGTGTAAATCAACAATCAGTGGTTTAATCTGCCCACTGCTGGTAGCTCCAACATCCCACATTTAACATCCATGACACCAGTGTCCATGTTTGCCAGATTTCTATCATCTATGTTTATGCCCAGGCCCTCTGACCTCACCCCTGCACACAGCCAGCTCTCCTGTCCTCCCTTCAGAGGCAGAGACCATATTCTCACATTCACTGCTGTACCTCAGTGCCCAGCACCAGGCCTGGCTCAGAGACAGGCCCAACCTGGCAAATGAGGAGCAGTTGTGTCCCCCCGCTCCCCTCTTCCACCATTTCTACTCCTGTTCCCCATTAAAAGTTGTCCAAGAGCAGTGAAGAAACCAAAGGCACTGAATCAGATCCATGTGTCTCTGGGGTCTGGGCCATTTGGGGTTATCGGTGGCTCAAAAGAAGACCGGGGCCATTCTGGCTGGCTGTGTGACAAGAGTGTTTCCTGCCAGCCAGTGGGAAAGCTGGCCAGAGCGAAGGCCAGGCCTGGGCCTCTATAGAATGGACCCTTGGAACAAGCTTGGAAGCCATGCTAATAGCCCCTCACTCTCGCTCTCACAGTGAAAGCCCCCCTGCTCTCTTGAATCACCTAGGAAACATTGCACAGCCCCACCCTCGACGCCTGGTTGGGACCAAGGCGGCCTTTCCGAGGACATGCATTTGTCTCATGGACGGAGCAGCACAGTTGTGGTTGAGGCGAGGGCCTGGCTTTGAGTCCTGGCCCCATCACTTATGACCCAGGTGACCTGGGTACATCAGCAAAGTGGCAATAAGGTGGAGTGATTAAGAATGTGGACTTGGAGGCCAAACTGTCAGGCTCAAATCCTGGCTCTGATACTTATTATGTGGTGATCTTGGGCAAGACATTTAACCAGCTCTTTACTCTCATGACCTCCCTGTGCCTCAGGTTCCTTAACTATAAATTGAGGATTAGTAACAGTACCCACTTCACAGGGTTGTTGTAAGGCTTAGATGAGAGAAACTAGGGCGTGGCACTTAAGAAACTCTCTATAAATGATTATTATAAATATGTTTGTAATATATTTATGTGTTATTATAAATATTTATTTGTTTTACTACATAGCCTGACTGGACAACCCAAGACGAGATCACAGGAATGTCCAGCTTAGTTCCGGACTGGACAAACCAGGACGGATGCCTGGTGCCAGCACTAGCTTGTACCTCTGAGATGCCCTAGTGTCCCCGAGCCCTGGTGGAGAGACGACGACTAGGGGAGGGTCTGCTGTGCCAGTGTCGATGAGAAGGAGGAAAGGCCCTGCTCTATGGCGAATTCGTTCCTCTTGGGGAACCCGGCAAACAGAGCGCGGCTCTCCCTTCTCACCTGTTCATTGCCCGCCCCCCCATCTCTTCCATAGAAAGGATCGTTTTCCCCTACTCCTGCTGTTACTTGTCACTCTAACTTCCAGGTCAAGTACAGGAAGCTCCAGAGCAAACAGACGGCTGTGCTGCTGAAGGAGTATCCCCTGCCTTGGGGTGGTGCTGGTCTAACTATACCCGTTGAGCCCTCATCCCTTTCCCAGGGTCGTAGTCTCTGCCTGGGGAGAATGACACAGCTGCCATGTTCATGCCCTACCTGCCCCTGCACCACCTCCAGGGGCCTCACAGGTGAGAAAAGCTATTTCCAGTGAGCAGGACGTGGGGCCGAAGCTGGTTCTCCAGCAAGGTCAGGTTCAGATGCCTCATTTCCAGGTGTGTCAGAGCCCTTCCTCTTCTGTGTTTCCATCTCAGCCTACCTCATTTACCCTTCTGTGAGGAGTGGCCAATTCTGTCACTGAGACTTGCCACAAATGGGGTCATTCTTATAGCAGGTGGGGTCCCTTCCCTCAAGAGCAACAAATAAATTCTGTGCTCTCTTGGGGCTGGCCTGGTGGCACAAGCGGTTAAGTGCACGCGCTCCGCTAGGGCAGCCCGGGGTTCGCCGGTTCGGATCCCGGGTGCACACCAATGCACCGCTTGTCAAGCCATGCTGTGGCGGCGTCCCATATAAAGTGGAGGAAGATGGGCACGGATGTTAGCCCAGGGCCAGTCTTCCTCAGCAAAAAAAAGAGGAGGATTGGCAGATGTTAGCTCAGGAATGATCTTCCTCACCAAAAAAAAAAAAAAAAAAATTCTATGCTCTCTGGTGGGCTCTTGGACCAGCGTGGACTCAGGCGTGGCTGGAGCTTTCTTTGAGCCTCCTGTAGGCAGATGAAGCGAGTCGGCCCTCAGATAGCCCGGGGCGGCCTCGGTTCCCTCGGTTCCAGCTTCTCAGTCAATGATTCGGTTAGTAAATTCAATTCCGGGGGCCATGAGGCACAAAGTGGGGACAGAGTAGGAAGCTCTAAGTGCACCCCTATCATACTTTACCAGGGAGCCCCTTCAAAGCTGGCACTGTAGCCCTGTTGCCTGGGGAGTTTGTGTTCACACCCCATTGGCCAGAACATGGAGAAGAGGATGGGCCCGGCACCATCACCTGACCACCCCACGCCCATGACCGTCGGCCTCACCTCCCACTGCGTCTCCTCCAGCGCGGGTGCGAAGCTGGTCTTCTCCTTCTCGTAGGACCTGAGCCTGGTCTCCAGCAGGTCCTGCTCCTTCATGAGGCTCTCGAGCTCCTGCCGGAGCTGCCGCTTCTCCTGCTGGAGCTGCAGCACCTGGAGCTGCAGCACCTGCTGCGTGCGCTGGCTCTTCTGCGAGGCCTGCCTCACCTTGCTGCCGCACTTCTGCTCCAGGCCCTCCAGCTCCTCCCGGCAGCGCCGTGGCCGGTCCTCAGAGGCCTGGCTGGAGGTCAGCTCCTTCTCCTCGAAGCTGCGCCGCAGCTTCTGGAGCTCACCCTCCCTCTCCAGCAGCTTCTGCTCGAGCTCCTGGATGGTGCACTCGTCTGTGGAGATGGGGGAGCGGACACAGGAGGAGCCCTTGTCCAGCTTGCTCGAGTGAACCAGCTTACTGCCCCCATCAGAGAAAGACAGAGCCTTCAAGCTCATCATGTTGCTGTCCTGGAGGAGGATGCCCTGGGTGATGTTATGGGCTGAGCCCCCAAAACGGCTAGCGGGCCCCATGGGTGTGACCAGCGGGTCCAGCTGGTAACTGCTGCTGGTGCTGTGTGTGGGCAGGCTGGACATGGAGTTCCGGCCGGAGTCCGACAGCGCCCCGGAGCACAGGCCAGGCTTCAGCTCCTGCTCCTTGGGCTTATCTGGAGGGGCTGGGTGCAGCTGGTGGCTGGCGCCCTCAGGGGAGGAGTGGAGGATGGCTCCCGCCCGCGGCAGCACGGGCTTGAATGCCGTGGGCCTCGCCGCACCCTTCTCTGAGCCCTGGGGGGTGGAAAGAACCACACTGACCCTGTGTCTCCCCTCACACTCCTCCCACCTCTCCCTCCCCTACCTGGGTACTGGTGCCGTCACGTGGCACCTTTCTTGGTGGGCGGCCATAGGTGAATCTCTCTCTGTGCCTGGGGGATGCCCTTCAGGATCACCAGGGCACTTTGTTCATTAACTGCCAACCTGTCACCAGCTCGTCCCAGCCCTCCTGAGATGAGGAACAGCATTTCAAGTTCACTGACTGAGATCCCATGCCAGGGCTCTGGCTCTGGGTCTCTGTGTGGGGTAGGGTCAGGCATTAGGCTGGACGAGCGTGGTGTCCTTGTAGCAGTCAGTCCCTTCTCCATCTTCACGCCTCCTTCCAGTAGGCCAAGAGCAAGAACACTGACCATGGCCTCCTTGAAGGATTGGGAGGACCCCTTAAAATAACAATCCTTTCCTTAAAATTGTCATTTTCATTGGTAGAGTACTTTGCAGTTTACAAGCCCTTTCATATGAAAAGCTTAGGGCTCTATGCAAACGTAGGGGACCATTTCCTTAGTATATTAGAGCCGTGGATTCATTCCCCTGGGGTGGGTGCAGGGGACTGAACAGGAAAATTGTTTTCAGCATCCACTGGTGGCTCCCAGGAGAGCCTGAATGGCACGAGGGCTGGATTTCTGACTAGGTAAGACTCTTTTCCCTCATCCCTGCTGAACTGATGATGATAGCAAACTCATAGCTCTCATCCAGCCACAGATGCTTCCAGGTCGGCGTGAGCAAGGCGCTGGTGCACCAGCAGAGCAGCAAGCGAGGGAGGCGCCTCCATGAGTCCACTAGCCAGAGAAGCCGCAGGCTCTCCCCCAGTGGACTCCTCGCCTGCTCTTCCCGACGATACCAGAGCTGCCTCTCCTTCCCAGGCGCCTGAAAATGTGCTGTTGGTCCTGCCTTGACAATCCAGAGTCACATCCCCGTGAGCTCAGAAAGGCTCTCACTTCCCCTTTGCTCTTGGCTTAAGGGCTCACCCAGACTTCTGGGTTGGGCCAACCGGTCATCTCTGTGGTGTGGCTGAGCACCTCCGCCCTCACACGCTGCTCTAGCCTCTCGGAGATCTAAACGTTTAGATCACCGCCACCATCATCCCCCCGTCCCCCTGCTCTCCACCCCCATTTTGCCGTCTCCTGCCTTTCCAACCCATCCACCCTGACCCCAGACCCCTGCTTACCATTTCTAGCTGATTGGAGAAGGGCTTGAGCTTGGGTGGAGTGGATGGGCCAAAGTCCACCCCAGCCTGGCCCCCTACGTCCCCACTGCACAGTGCAGTGTAATCTGGGCAGTGCGAGCCCCGGGCCTTCTGGCTGACCTTGATGTAGAAGAAGTCCTCACTCTTCCCCATCTTGGAGCTGGACTTGCCATGACCCGAGTCCTGGGAGAAGCCAAACCTCAGCAGGCCGTCCGAACACCGATTGAGTTTCTTGAGGCGGGACGACTTGCGCAGCTTGTACTGAGAAGCCCGGCAGTGCTTGCTGTGGAAGCTGTGGCCAGAGATGAGGCTACTGACGCTGCCCATGGTGATGCGGGGCCAAGCACAGGCGGGGCAGGGCGGAGACCTGGTGTGGCGGTGGCAGCACGGGGCAGCCCTGGCTTCACAAGGAGACTGCAGTCATAGCAGAAGCCCCTCAGAGCCTGGAGTGCTGCAGACCTGGGGGGAGACACAAGGCAGGGGGAGCCTGGGTCGGGTCCGCTCACTGCACAGCCCTCGATGGCGACTCCAAGAGGAGTTGTCCTGACAGCTAGCTCTAGGCAGGAGGGAACTGGATGTTTCCCTTACTGGAAACTCAGCCCTGTTTCTGCCATTGGGCTCTCCACTCACTCTTCCTTCGTGCGCCAATTCAACAAACACTCCCTGAGAGCCTACTGCGTTCCGGCAAGGCTCTGTTCTGCACACTGGGATACGGTGGTGACTACAACAGTTACAGCCCCGCTTGCACGGGGCTTGTGTTTAGTGTAGGGTGGACAAGCCATAAACAAGTCAGTGTATACTATCTCAAGTGACATATGTGCTGTGGTGAAAACAAAGCAGAGTGGGTAGGACAGAATTCCGGAAGGTGCTTATTTTAGACAGAGTACAAGGGAGGCCTTTCTCCTGGGGTATCATTTGAAGAGACCTCAAGAAAACAAGGGAGCAAGCCATGTGGAAGTCTGGGAGGAGAGAAGCAGCTCCAAGTGCAAAAGCTCTGAGTCTGTGCCGCAGAATGTGCTGGGCATGTGGGAGACCAGCAAGGAGACCAGTCTGGCTGGAGAACAGTGAGCAGTGGGGGTGGAGGAGATGTAGAAGTCGAGAGCTAGCAGGTGCCGGGCAACACAGAGCCTGGCTGGCCATACAGGTTTTGACTTGTCCCTTGACTGCGATGAGAAGCCCCGATGGCTTTGAGCAGCTGACTTTGGTCTGACTCAGGCTGTGGAGGGTCACTCTGTCTGCTGGGTGGACAAGAGGCTGTTGAGGGGCCTGGGTGGTGGGCCAGTTACGTCAAGTGATAGGCTAATACGGCTGGGCCAGGGTGGTAGCTATGCATGACATATTGGATGTAATTTTAAGGTCAAGTTGATAGGATTCGTTAAAAGATTGGACACAAGGGGTGAGAGAAAGAGAGGAGTCAGCGATGACTTGGATGTTTTTATTCAAGCAACTAGAATAAGAAAGTTGCCATTTATTGAGATGCAAAAGACCACAAAAGAAGGCAGTTTAGGATGGTGGGGGTGGAAAATAGGAGTTTGGTTTAACACATTAAACTTGCAAAGCCTATTAGACACCCAAGGAGTGATGTCAAGTAGGCAGGCGGACGGGCGGGGACTGTGGGAGCTGCAGACTTCTACGTGAAAGTCATCCGTGAGAGAAGCAGCTCTGAGACTAGCTGAGGTCACCAAGCAGCAAAGGCAGGAAGACAGAGAAGTCTGAGGACTGGCTCATGGAGGTCAGGAAGGAGACGAGGAATGAGGAAGGGAGCCGAGAAGGCAGTGATGTGGGAAACTGAAGAAAGGCAAGTTAAGACACCGTCTCAAAAGGATCTGTCTCAAGTGCTGCTGAAGTAAGATGGCGCCTGAGAATTGGCCAATCGATTTCCCCATGGGGAGGTCACCAGTGACCTTGACGAGCAGTTTTGGCGGAGTGGTGGGAAGAAAGGCCTGATTGGAGAGGGTTCAAGAGAGAACAGGGAGGAAGTAATTGTTCCCTGGAATGCTGAGCAGTCTGTGAGAGACCTGGTGTGGATTCCCAGCTATGCCACCTGCCAGCTATGACATGTGAGGTCAGCTCTAACATCTTTAACCTTCAGTTTCACAAACTAATTCTAAGACACACTTAAAATTGTTTTAAAAAGTAATAGGAATGCATCTTATAACCAATGCTGAAAACAATAACAACGGCCTTGCCAGGCACCAGCAAGAGGAATACACGGGATGCCAATGCCGGCACACTTGCAGACACAGGCAAATCTCTAAGCATAGAAAACATGATTTTCAAAGCCAGGAAGGCTGTGTGGTTATCATGCACTGCAAAGGAGTATTTCTCAGTCAGTCAGAAGATAGATGATCCAATTAAGGGGGAAAGAACTACAAGCTTAATAAAAGAGAAAATGCAGAAGGAACCCCACATTCTTTACATTACACTGTTGAACCTACAGGGACCAAAGAAGTTCCAGGTGGGTTATGGAGAGGCATATGTGCACAGCGAAGGGAGCCAGAGACTCTGCAGACTCTGAACACGAGAACTTGGATTCAAACTTGCATTGTTATCCTGAAGAATAAAGTGATTATATTATGAATAAATATGTTCTATATTCCATTAATAAAAGCACAATACAACAAAAGATCATTGTGTAAGTTGAGTGTACGTTTTCCTATGAAAAGCTTTTACTAAATAGATGGCCTCTTGGAATCAAGGATGGTTATGAGAAGTTTATTAGACACACCATACGCTGACAGGTCTGGTACAATTACTGCCTTGTACATAGTAGGGGCTCAATAAACGGCAGGTATTTTCAACAATTAGTTATCGTCATTGTTCTCTCCAGGACTCGTCATCCCTGCTAGTTTCAGCGCTCACATCTCATTTTCCAGAACTAGTTCTCTCCCTTCCAAATGTGACTTTCCTGCATCCCATTGCCTGACAGTGCTGCTTACGAGTGTGGAGCTCCTCTGCTAACTGAACAGTTGACAATGACAAATGTATTTATTATTATTATTTTTTTGGTGAGGAAGATTAGCCCTGAGCTAACATCCATTGCCAATCCTCTTTTTGCTGAGGAAGACTGGCCCTGGGCTAGGATGTGCCCATCCTCCTCTACTTATGTGGGACGCCACCACAGCATGGCTTGACAAGCGGTGCACAGGTCCGCACCGGGGATCTGAACCTGCAAACCCTGGGCAGCCGAAGCAAGCTGTGGCCTTAACCGCTATGCCACTGGGCTGGCCCCACAAGAATGTATTTTTCATCCCCCAGGTCATCCATCTTTTGCTTAGCTGAGGCCTCCAGGTCCTCTGAGGCAAAAATTCTACTGTTGTCCATATGTAGGGAAGCTACTTTTGGCCAAAAGATTCACCTGCACTCTGCACATTACACCAGTTGGACAACCAGTGACTTACTTTTTGCCCATCCAGTATAGACAGTGTTGTAGAGACAAGACCACTGGCTATGGCATCAGACAGATTTGGATTTGAAAATTAACCTCTCTGGGGTTTCTTTGCTCACAAAATGGAAATAACAACTATTTCTTAGGACCAATATGAGGATGAAGCAAACTAAGAGAAGTCAAGTGTAATGCCTGGCACACGGTAGGTCCTCTCCAGATGTGTGTGTGACCAACAGAAGGACAAGAGGAGGGTGTCACCCTCAAGAAGCATATACCACAGTCGGAGTGTGACTGCAATATTGGGCAGACGTGTTAAATGAGTCTGTTTGCAGCTCTCCTGCTCCACTGCCGTCTCCTCTCACCTGGACCTGAAACAGCCTCCAAATCTGTTTTCTCCCCATCTGTTCATCCTAAGCGTCTGCAGTGTCACACTGGTCATCCTCCCTGGGGAAAATTCGTCAAGGCTTCCCACTGCTCTTGGAGCAAGCAGACTCCTGACCCTGTCCTGCAGGCCCTAGGCAGGCTCTGGTTCTGCCCACTACTCCACTCTTCTCTCACCCCGTTCTTTCTTTGCTCATAACCATGGTTCCAGCCACACTCGTCTCTCTTCTGTGGGTTGAACACACTAAGCCTTTCCCCACTGAGGAGCTTTTGTACCTGCTGTTGCCTCTGCCAACAGTTCTCTTCCCTCAGCTCTTCACGCAGATCGCTCTTTCTCATCTTTTAGTTCTCAACTCAAATGTCACCTCCGCAAGGTGGGTTTCTCTGTTTACCTTGGAAAAGTCTACCTCCCCATTACTCTGTTATTCCAGCCTATTTCCTTCGTAACACTTGCTTTAACCTGTAATGATCTTTTTTTTAAATTTGTTTATTGTGTCTCCACCAGAACATAAGCTCTATGAGAGTACAAACTTTGATCTACAGCTCCTAGAACAGAAATGAGGAAAATGAGGCCTAGACTCAGAGAGGGCAGATGACTTGACCCTTGTCACTCAACTGGCCAGTGACCAAGGTGGGATCTGAACCCAGACCCAAATGCCATGGTGTCCACGCTAGAGCCCACTGCTGGGGACTGCGCGTGAGGCTCAGAGATGTTAGGGGTCCTGTCCTGGATGGCCAAGTGAGTTTCCAGGATTGGCAGAGAGAAAGTTTGGGGGAGAGATCAGGGTCCATGGCCTCCAGCCATAGCTTCATTGCCGAGCCGGGCAGATGACAACAAGGTTTCAGGTACAGGTAAGCTCCTTTGTTCCCCTGAGCAGCAGCCTGGATGACTTGCGATACACAAAGAAGAAGAGAAATGATGCCGGGGAGCAGAGGAGTGGGTGAAGAATGGTGGCTCTGGTCCTCTGAGTATGTTCCTGTCCCCTAGCCCCAGATTCCCTGCTCTCCACTCCCCAGGTCTTGACACAGAGGAGCTCTGAAGCTTGAGATTATCCCTAGATCCACTTGAAGCTAAACTAATTACCTGTAAGTGTCTGGACTTGTTCCATTTTCAACTTGGAGAGAGCATCACAGAAAACTTGCCTATGATCCACCCTAGGTCCTAACCCTAGTCTTCCCAGCCACCCCTGACAGACCTGCTGTCTCTGCCCTCAGGAAGGTCAGGGGGAAAGGGCACATTTTTATCCCTGGGAAACAAATCCCCACTGGCCAGGGAGACACACTTAGGGTGAAGATCAGATTCCAGAAGGGGAAAGGAGGAGGGAAGAGGACTGGAGAGGAAACAGGAAAGGAAGCATGGAGGTTCCGCCGAGTATGTCACAGTGGCCTTCTTCCACGTGACCTTCTCCACGCGCTGTCTCAGGCTGTGCTCCTCTTTTCCTCTCTTCCCATGAGACATGAAGTCTAATTCTTGCTGGACTCCTTCTATAAAAAGAGTAGGAGGTCACGCAGCCCCAACGACAAAGAATTCTCTCACCCAAACAGTCAACAGTGCTGAGGCTGAGAAACCTGGTTGTAGAGGAACAGAAAGAAAATAAGAGTATAGACCCTCAGTTCTGCCACTGACTCAGTGTGACTGTGAGCAAGTGACTTCAGCTCTCTGTGCCTCAGTTTCCTCACTTGTAAAATG